ATATATATATATATATATATACATATATATATATATATATATATATATATATATATATATATATATATATATATATATATATATATATATATATATATATATATATATATATATATTTATTTATTTATTTATTTTTTTATTATTATTTTTTTATTTTTTATTTTTTTTTGCCAAAACAAAATCTCAAAGACTCTGCCCCCATGCTTTTCATCCTCCCAACTAAGCAATAATCTTTCCTGCACCTGCTGTCCCTTCGTCTTCCCCACGGACTTAATTAACCCATTGAGCTAGCAATTTTCTTAGCACATAAGAGAACCTTAAAACACACTAGTTTTTATGACAAGCAACCACTATAAAAGCATGACATTTACAAGGATTCTTGATAATTCACTTCCAACCATAAACATATATCTTATTGTTATTAAGCTCAAGAATGGCAGAAATTACCGACCAGATAATATTCGAAGCCTTTTTTCTCCTGCTGGTTAATCGACCAAGACCATCACCTCCAAGATCTCCTCCAACTGATAGCGAGTGGAGACGGAGAAAACGAGCAATGGTGCAACAACCTTATCAAGGACAATATAGCTCACCACAAACAATACATCCAAGCCAAGACAACACTTGTCCGACAAAACGTATTTCTTGTTCTTGCACCAACTTGGATGAGCTCTTTCGAGAGAGCCCATCTCTGGATCGGTGGCTTTAGGCCTCGTTTGGCATTTCGCCTCATCATCAACAATGTATTGGACTTGACAGAGGATCAAATTCAAAGGATAAACATAGTCATAGAAGATATTAAGGAGGAGGAAGATGAACTCACCGATGAGTTCGATAAAGTCCAAGAGAGGATGGTAAGTTAATTCTTAAATAACCTTATTATTTTTTGTTTATCATATCTTAATTAATTAAATGAACTCTCATTTTCACCTTAATTGATAATTGATGTAGGTATCTTCATCAGTGTTGGAGTTGGCAAGACAAATGGGAAGGCCGACAACAATTCATAACATGGAGACAACAACTGATACACTGAAGGTGTCGATTGAGGCTATGCTGGAGTGTGCTGATTTTCTAAGAAAGAAAAGCAGGGGAATGATAATGGATAATTGGATATACTGAAACCAACTCAGTGTGTGAGGTTTTTGACAGCAGAATGTCAACTGCAGCTCAGTCTCCGGAGGATAATGTGATAATTGGATAATTGGATAATATGTTGCACAAAGATGAACAAAGACTCCGAATGAGCTAGCTATTATATATTTTATACCAATACTGGTTTTATCATCATCTCTCTGGCTGGAGCTCGAACTCGCATGAGTGTCAGTGAGTTCGAGCTCGAGCTCGGCTCAAGCTTTTAAATAATTAACTCATTAATAAAATAATTCCATGTTTAATAATAATAATAATAATAATAATAATAATAATAATAATAATAATAATAATAATAATAATAATAATAATAATAACAATAATAATGAATTAGTAAGGAATACATTTGTAAAATAATGTAATATATATATATATATATATATATATATATATATATATATATATATATATATATATATATATATATATATATATATATATATATATATATATATATATATATATATATATATATATATATATATATATATATATATATATATATATATATTAGTGTCTAAAAATTGGTCGAGGTAGTCGATTAATCGGTCTCCGAGTTGGAGGCGGTCAAAAACCTTTATGATTTTAGTGTAAATGTTTGAAAAAATGGTTTCTGCCTTTGAGGCGGATTTAGGCGGTCTGAGGCGGTCAAACCTTGGAGACGGGTCAAACTTTAGTGGCAAAAATCATTTTTTTTTTAAATAAAAAATGTTGGGCTTTTAATCAGAAATGAGTTTATACTTTATTTTATTTTTCTAATGTTAAATTTTATTGTTAAAGGACCTAATACCATATGCTTGCAATGTTCAAATTTAATTTTGGATGCCCAAGATTTTTGTTTTATTTTTAGTTTCTAAAGATTTTTATTATATTATAATCTTATTATTAAGGGGCTTTAAGATATGCATCCCTAGTGGGAAAAGTTATTAGATGATACACTCAAGACTATAAAAACATTAGACAAACATCCTTTTGTGAAATAGTGACAATAGTACCCTTACGGAGACAATAACGGCGTTTATTTTTAAGTTTGGAAAAAAAAAACTAAATCCCACCAATCCCGCCACCAATAATCTGTGAGATTATATTTTCCAACATTACAATTAACCGTAACAAAACCAACCCACTATCCCCCAATTCGACCCATCTTCTACAGATTAGGGTTTTTTTCTTCTTTTTCTGCTGCCCATATTCTCGTCGACGAGCAACATCAGTGCTTCCAAAAAGGTAGGCGCAAGTATAATCTACCGATGTCTACGTCAAGAAACCGATCAAGTAAGTTCTAATGTTTGTTGATTTTGTTGTAATTTTGTTATTTCTGGGTTTTTACCATATTGAACGAACAGGGGAGATGCGTACGAAGCGGAAAGAAGACATAACTGCCCTAGACCCTGGTACGATTCAAACTATGAATATTCTGTTTCTGTGATGTTTAATAATTATGTGGGTTCCTATGTATTCAACCATAAAAATCATGGAGTCTACTGATTCAAACTTTGCTGGGAAATAATGTTTTCGGACAAAAGGTTCCAATCCGTTGTTGGGTACTCGCAACATGTATTCTAATATGTTTCATGACTCCTGGGTGTCGTCATATAGTACATGTAGGTCCAGATTTGTGTGATATCAGATAGTTGGTGTACAAAAGTATGCGTATGTCTATAGTTATCTGCGTACATCTATGGTTATCTGCGTATGTCTATGGTTATCTGCGGAATTACAATTCATTACTATGAAAAATAAAAGTTGTAGAACTGTCATTGAAGTTTCGAGAAAAAGTGATTCCCTTCCGTTGGACGTTTTTTCTATGTAACAGTAACATTATTCGTAATTTTGTTGCTAATGATTCGTATTTTGCCTTCTACTGCTATTTGAATCTGTGTTTCTATGGCTTTCTACGAGTGCATACATTGTATTGTCTCATAGTTTCTATGGCATTCTGTCAGTTGCATATGAAGTATAATGGTCTCACATGACTTCAATGGATATGTTGGTACAACTATGTTGGAGACATATAAAACAGTTGCAATTATATAATATATAATTCCATGTTTAATTGATAATACTGCTCAAGATTTTGTATTTTTGACTCGTTGCATAGTACATGTAACTTTGTGGTATACTATGTGAATCTATGATATTCTATTTTTTTCTGGCAATTGCAAAATTTTCCATCCCTTAATACACATATATTGCCACTATAATTACATTGCATATGTATTTGTTTCTTCTCCAATTCCTGTGAACTTGATAAAAATTAAAGCGTGGTTTCTTATATTCGCAGGAGAAGCAATGAATGTTGCGCGCAAAACGAGGAACAAAGGCGGTTACATATCGCAATTTAGGTCAAATTTGACGTCTACTGTGGCTTTCTTCGAAGGAGTGCACTTACACAATGCCCATGTAGAATGTCTGAAGAGAACCCCATTTTTCAACCTCGTAATACCGTTCGCAAAGCACAAAGTCACCGCCACCTCCGTCACAGGGACCCAAAATGGGTGCGTGGAGTTTTTTTTGACATACAAACCAGGTGAAAACGCTTTCGAAATTGGTGGAAAGAAACTCAGTCCCCAACAGAAAGCTTGTTCCACCGATTGTGGTGTGATCGTGCTATACATAATTAGAGAATATTTTCTTCAAATGCCATTAGAGGTCAAAGAAGCAGAGGAGGGTGTTGCAGAAATGAGAAAGGACATTGTAGTACATCTTCTGAATTACATAATCAATTAGCCATAAATAGTCTCGTTTTATATGTCTACTGTACGAAAACGAAACTTATGTAGTATTTATGTTTTTCCGCTCCAGTTTTAACTGTGTTGAAATATTCACAACAATCAGTTGTTCATTGACACAGTACTTTATCTATATATGCCTTTTGGAAACTATCTTTGTTAATATTGTATAGTAGTGAATATTTGTGTATAGAAATACCATAAAAATGTCAGACCACCGTAGTGCAAACCATACTACATCTTCTATGATAAACTATGAAATACTACGGAAAATTGGAGGATCGCGTTAAATGACAGCCCTCCAAAACAAACTGTATTGTATTGTTCTAATGTGCTGTCATTCATGCAGTGCAGTGATGATAATAACTAAACAGTGCAATTAGATTATCTGTAAAACATAAACATGTATCATATTTTCACAAGCAACATATCATTTACAAACGGATAATGCATGAAAAACTTGAGGCAGATTCAATCATGCAATGTGTTGAACAGTATTATTGCATTTTTTTTGTAATAGAACTAACAAAAAAACAAGATAGCACATGAAAGTGAAACGTCGCGTAAATCCATCAAAAAAGATTACAATACGAACAATGATACATATCTCACAACACATAAAACCATGAAATTAATTCAGATACATTATTTGAGTTTTGTTCGTTCAGTGATGCGAAATATTTGTAAGTTTGACTAACAAATTCGGCATAAGTGTACAAATTGTATTGATGTCAAAACATGAGTCCTCATATAAAGTTGTAACATACTACAGTTTTCTTTAGGATGTTATAGATCACTAAACCAAATTAAGATAAGCGCACTACGTGATAAAATGCACCAACACTTGCTGGACGGCATTTTTCTTTGTTATGAAATTGCTGCAATGCTGTCAATATTGTGATCCAAAAAAATTAGAATACATTGCAATATTCTATGTAAAAATCGTAAACCTATATGACATTTCTGGAAATCATGTTTTCTATGCACAAATATACTGTACATCAAACTAAAATACAACATTGCTCAAACATGAATTCTTATAAGTAACATTAAACATAAAATACTCTAAAAACAAATATATAACTCTGAACAGTAAGAAAACATAAATCCATTAAATAAATAACAAACATTCATCAGGAAAAAAAAAAAAAAAAACCCCTACGGAAACAACGCAAGACTTCCCCCAGCATAAATCCATGAAAGAAACATAAAAAAAAGAAAACAAAGTCTATAAATCAATGCAAACTTGAAACATCCAGAACAAAACTCAAATCAAAACTACTGAATTGCCCTTGTGCACGTCTTTTTGTTGTGGGATCCCACCTGGTTGCATCGACTACACCTCATCCTCCTCGCTACGCTCTCACCCCTAGAAGCAATTCTTTTCGTCTTTGGTCTACCACGTTTCGGCTGGAACTCAGGTGGACCAATGACAGCCAACGGCGGATCCGCAATAGGCCTAGCAAATGGAAAAATAGCTTTAGCATAACTTTGTTTGTACGACCAAACATGAAAGTAGTCTTCCACATAAATTTTAGGTTTCGTTGGAGATGAACCAAACAGTAAGAGTGTGCAGAGTCAGGAAATACATTCCTCACACCTTCCAAAATACCATGGTTTCGGTCAGAGATAAAAGTCAACGACCGATGGTTACCAATTGCTATCTTCAATTTCCTCAAAATTCTGAGATTACTGGAAAAAAAAAAAAAAATCGAACATTAAATGAAACTGCAATCAAATAGGTTACTACATTAATTTACTAAATTCTTTTTTCCATTCTAAAATTTAATTTTCAAATCTATAAGTGGATGTCGTAAAGACAAAAAAACGATAAATTTTTTTTTTTGAACAGACATCCAACCAACAAAAACAACAAACACGCGAAGAAACAATGATATCGATGACGAAGAAAATACCTTCTTGAAAAGGAGAACAACGAACACTCTCGATTGTCTACGCTCAAGTTTAGCAGATTCAACTGTGTATTGCTATTTATGAAATCTTCGCAGATTACAACTGTGTATTAATATGTATGAAATCTTCTTCACATCGTGCAGTATATTTAATGAGATTACATAAAGATACAGTTAATATCACGATAGAACGTGATTGATACATAATCCCTATCTTCAAGGGACGTGATTTATTAAATAGACATAACGTTTAATACCGCTACATAAACGTCCGGTTAATATAAGGGTATTATTGGGATATTTAAAAAATAAAACCCTTATATCT